GATAAGTCTGCTATGTGGAGACAATCCAGATGCTTGAGTTATACCTTCTTTAACTATGTCTTGTGTCCAAAATATACCATGATTTTAGGAAATCACGCCTTTGAGAGATTTCAGAGTAGCTCTTTAGCCTCCCACAAAGCTCTTAAGTTAAGCAGTTGTGACTTGGGGAAAATGGTTGTGAATTAGGGCCTCTTTTTTTTTTTTTTTTTATCCTCACCCGAGGATATTTTTTTCCATTTTTTGTACAGATAGAGTGGGAGGGAAAGAGAGGAAGAGAGAGAGAGAAACATCGACGTGAAGGGACACATCGAGTGGCTGCCACCTGCACGACCAACCTGGGCCGGGGACAAACTGCAACCGAAGTACGTGCCCTTAGCGGGAACCGAACCCGGGTCTCTCCGGACTGCAGGCTGACGCTAAAACCGCTGAGCCAAACCGGCCAGGGCGAATTAGGGCCTCTTAATTTATAATTTATGAATTGATCTAAACCTGCGTAGTAATTAAGAGTATCGGGGATTTATCTTTCTCTCAAAAGAGTATTCTAACTGGGCCAAGGCTAGGCTCAATTCACATCCATTGTTGCCAAGGTCTCAGAAAAAGAAATGATGGCAAGATTGAATGCTTTTCAGAATTATTTTTTCCTGAAATTTTAGTTCATCTCTACATTGCTTCCTCAGCTTTGATGTCCTTAAAATAAATACAATCTTAAAATATAATTTGGATTTTCTAGTTTTTATTTATTTTTACCAGAGAAAACATGTTGTGCAGATTATATGTCCTACAGAGAACTATATATTTTTTTAATCCTTACCTGAGGACATTTTTGGATTCATCTTCAGATACAGCGGGAGTGAGAGAGGGAGGAAGAGAGAGAGAGAGAGAGAGAGAGAGAGAGAGAGAGAAACATTGATGTGAGGGAGACACATCAACTGGTTGCCACCCACACAATGCCAACTGGGGCTGGGGACAAACTGCAACCAATGTACGTGTCCTTAGTGGGAACCGAACCCTAGTCTGTCTGGTCTGTGGGCCAGGGCTCTAACCGCTAAGCAAAACAAGCCAGGGCACAACTGTATTTTTTAATCCATTTTATTTATTCATTTTTTCTCCTTTATTGATTTTAGAGAGAGAGGAAATGAGAGGGAGAGAGAGAAAGAAACATCACTGAGAGAGAACATTAATTGGACGCCTCCTGCGTGCCACGCACTGGAGATGGGGCTGACAAGATGGGCATGTGTCCTGACCGGGAATCGAATCAGCGACCTCTTGGTGCATGGGTCCATGCTCAACCACTGAACCACACTAGCTGCACTTAATTCATTTTATGAGAAAAAATATAACAAAGTTGAGTGGCAAGTATTATTTTCTGACTTTCCAGACTTTGAATGATTCTGTCTAAGAGGAAGTCATGTCCACAAAATATCACAGGGCAGTGGTATATAAAACGTTAAAATCGTCTATTGTCACTTCCTCCTTTCCAGTTTGGATCCCTTTTATTTTTTCTTCACATCTAGTTGCTGTGGCTAAGACTTCCAGTACTATGTTAAATAAGAGTGGCGAAAGTGGGCATCCCTGTCTTGTTTCCGTTCTTAAGGGGAATGCTTTTAGTTTTTACCCATTGAGTATGATATTGCCTGTAGGTTTTTCACACGTGGCCTTTATTATTGTGAGATATAATCCTTATATTCCCACATTGCTGAATGTTTTTATTAAAAATGGGTGCTGGATTTTGTCAATGCTTTTTTAGCATCTATTGATATGATTATAAGCAGATGACATGGTATTGTACATAGAAAACCCTAAAGACTCCATCAAAAATCTACTAGAATTAATAAGTGAATTTGTCAAAGTAGCAGGATACAAAATTATCGTCAAGAAATCGATGGCATTCTTATACACCAATGATAAACTCACAGAAAGAGAAACTAAAAAAACAATCCCATTTACCCTCACAGCAAAAAATTAAGATACCTAGAAATATATTTAACCAAAGAAGTAAAAGATCTCTTCACAGAAAACTATAGGTCACTGAAACAAGAAATAGAGGAAGATATAAAAAGTAGAAGCACATACCATGTTCATCAATTGGAAGAATTAACATCATTAAAATGTTCATATTACCCAAAGCAATCTATAGATTCAATGCAATCCCCATCAAAATACCAATGACATATTTCACAGAACTAGAACAAACACTCCATAAGTTTATATAGAACCAAAAAAGACCCCGAATAGCCACAGCAATCTTGAAACAGAAGAACAAAGTAGGGGGGATCATACTACCAGATATCAGGTTATACTATAATGCCACTGTAATTGAAACAGCCTGATACTTGCACAAGAACAGGAAGATAGATCAGTGGAACAGAACAAAGAACCCAGAAATTGACCCAAGACAATATGATCAATTGATATTTGACAAAAGTCATATAGTGGAGTCAAGACAGTCTCTTCAATAAATGGTGTTGGGAAAATTGGACAGCTACTTGTAAAAAAATAAAGCTAGACCACCAACTTACATCATATCCAATAATAAACTCAAAATGGATAAAATACTTCAATGTAACTCATGAATCCATAAAAATTCCAGAAGAAAACGTAGGCAACAAAATTTCAGACATCATATACAGCAGAATTTTCACTGATACAACACCTAAGGCAAGAAAAATGAAGGAAAAAATGAACACAGGGGACTACATCAAATTAAAAGAAACAATAATCAAAATAGAAACGGAACCCACTATATGGGAGAGCATAATTGCCAATGATGCATCAAATGAGGGATTAATTTCTAAAATATATACAGTACTCATACAACTCAATAAAAGGAAGACAAAGGACCCAATTAAAAAATGGGGAGAAGACCTAAATAGACATCTCACCAAACAGGATATACAAATGGCCAAGAGACATATGAAAAAATGCTCAACGTCAGTAATCATCAGAGAAATGCAAATTAAAACCACTATGAGGTATTAGTTTACACCTGTCAGAATGGCTGCCATCAACAAATCATCAAACAAATGTTGGTGAGGGTGTGGAGAAAAGGGGACTCTAGTACACTGCTGGTGGGGATGCAGCCTGGTGCAGCCACTACGGAAAACAATATGATGTTACCTCAAAAAATTAAAAATTGAACTGCCATTTGACCCAGTGATCTCACTTCTAGGAATATACCCTAAGAAGCCTGAAACACCAAGCAGAAAGAATATATATACCCCTATGTTCATTGCAGCACTATTTACAATAGCTAAGATCTGGAAACAGCCCAAATGTCCATCAATAGATGAGAGGATTAAAAAAACTGTGGTACATATGCACAATGAAATACTATGCAGCTGTCAGAAAGAAAGATCTCTTATCCTTTGAGATGGCATGAAGGGACCTAGAGAGTATTATGCTAAGTGAAATAAGCCAGTCAGAGAAAGACAAATACCACATGATATCACTTATTTGTGGAATATAATGAACTAAACAATCTGATGAACAAAATTGACCCTGAGGCATAAAGGTAGGGTACATCCTGACAAACTTCAGAAGAGGGGGTGTTGGGGGGAAGAGAGAAACCACAGAACTTATATGCATGTATGCATAACCAAAGGACATAGACAACAAAGCTGTGGATGGGGCGGGGAGGATGGGGAGAAGGGTGTCAATAGGGGAAAAAGGAGAAACATCTGTAACAAAAACAAATTAAAAATAATTATAAAAAACCTTCTATTGTCAGACACCTTTCTGTTTTCTTTATTATACTAGAATAATGAGATATGTCATAAAATGAAACCATACCATTGAGATAAACATGAGTTATTAACAAATTGATGTAGCTATTGCTCCTAGGACTCGAGCTCAAAGGGAAGAGATGAGATTATTGAAATTTATACTTTTGGAATAAGTTCCATGGATCTAAGACTTGAACCTTTGAAAAGAAGGTTAGCTAACCTAGGACTGAAACTCAGGGATTTGGTGGAGGACTCAAAGATCTGACACTAAACCCTGAGGGTAACATCCTTGGTCGCTGTGACAGTATCTCTGACAGCAGTGTTGGTTCTGATAGTTACTAAAAACTATGTATATATATGAAATTACAATTATAACATTATATACAGAAGTGGAGCAAAAATAGGTTTACAGTAATTTATATGGAAAATAATACAGCAATTTATAAATAATAAAAGAATAAACTCTGTGTTCATGTACTCACAAATATAAACCTACTTCTGAAAGTTACTATCTTTATAAAGGCTACAGCTGTTAATAATGTAAGACTGGCACAAATAGTAATAGAAAAATTTCCCAGGCGTGACTGATGTGGCTGAGTAGTGGAGTGTTGACCCATGCATCAAGAGGTCACCGGTTCGATTCCCAGTCAGGGCATATGCCCAGGTTGTGGGCCAAATCCTCAGTGGGGGGCTTGCAGGAAGGGGCCAATTAATGTTCTCTCTCATTGATGTTTCTATCTCTCTCACCCTCTCCCTTTCTCTCTCTCTAAAATCAATAACGAAAAAAAAAATTTCCCAGGTTTCCAGTCTCCCTCTAGTTGCCAATTATTGCAGAAAGTAAAAATGTGAGGAATGGCAAGGAAGAAATTTGATTTGATTGTTTGCATTCCCTGTGAGACAGTGCAGAGTGCAAATGGGAAGGATGGTTAGATTGAGACAGCAACTTAAAATCAGACAAATATACATTATCCATTTACTGTACCTGTGCTCAGGAAACACAAAGAGACTAATTCCATGAACAATTAAACACTAACACTTTGAAGATAATGGAAAGTAGAAATACTCTAGGAATTAGGACATTTTGCTAATTGTTTAATGGCCAATGTTTTATGATTCAAATAATAAAAAATTGGGATTATGGCAATGGTCTATGACACATTCTGTAATATTTGTATTGTCAGGAGATTAAAACTTAGTAAATGAGAAAAATGATAATATTGGGTTTCTTTGTTGAAATTGTAAATTGTTGATTTTGTTTCTAAAATGCAGTAGAACATTTCACTGCTCTTCCTTAGATGAAATGGAAACATCTTGCTCTTCTTCCTCAGGTAAAGTGCTGACATTTTCCTCAGGTGAAGGTGGAATACTCGTATCACTTCCTTCATTTGGCATGAAGACCCAAATTAACAAGCATAGTAAAATAACAACAACAAGAATCAACCAAAGTAGTCCCAGGTAACTCTCTCCTTTCTCTTTTCTCCCAGGGGGTGGACCACTATCAATACTACCTCCAAAGCCTTTTTCCTGGCAGTTTGGGGGCTCCCAGCCTTTGTTGCAATGGCAGTTTTGTTTGTTGTTGCAGACCCCATTCGTATTGCAGGTCTCCGGTGAACAATTATTTAACAGATGTGACCTACTGACACACTTCCTTTTGATGCAGACATGATCTGTACCACACTCTGTACCATCTTTCACATCACCAATGTCAGGTATGGTCATCCCAAAGTGGTAGTCAGTACCCCAGCAGGTGACGCCATTGAAGTGAGTCCAATGCACTGTAGAATGATCACTCAGAAGCGGAATTTCTATCACGTTTTCACACTGAATCCTCCCACACAAGCTATCTGAGATGTTACATTTTACATATGTAGAGTAGTTGAAACCACAGTGACCAAAACGATCACCTTGGGTGTTAATTTTTGTGTAGCAACTGTGATTTGCACTCTTGGCCTCTTTACCAAAAATTTTCCTACACTGTTCTTCACGGTTATTGCATCTCTTTTCATAGCAGGTGCCACCGCCCTCACATGGGAACCCATTCTGCACATACACATCTTCTGGGCAAAGGTAGGATTTCCCATTGCACCACTCTGGGAGATCACATTCATTTATCTCTTGTCTACAAACTGTGCCTGTTGACACAATCTGGCAGTCTTTGCAACAAAGCCCAAAAGCACAAGCAGCCCCAGGTCTGAGAGTGCAGTCTGACTCACAGCATGGATCTTTCATACACAAATCTAAAGTTCCACAGTCACACTCTTCTCCTTCTTCAACCACACCGTTCCCACACCGGGTACATTGCACGGTATTCCATTTATCATGTGAAAAGTACAAACAGGTTTGTCTTGTCATGGTGTTCATGAAGTCAGCATAACTGCAGTTGCTGAATCTAGTTGCACTTGCTTTTGATGGAAACATTATACAGGTCTTCTGCCCACATGTACAAGTTTTTTCATCATGATCCATACCTAAATTATGACCAATCTCATGTGACACAATATACGCAAAGTTATAAAAATCATCATTTGTGAAACTATCAACTCCACAGTTAAAACGAAAGTGACATACTCTTCCAAGAAAGGCTAAACCAAGAGCATCGGTATATTCTTGCTTTATAAAAACATGTGCTACATCATGTGGTATGCGGTGATTAAAGAGAATTGTCTTCCAGATGGAAAATTTAACCAGGAGCTCTGTTATGTTTTCGACTGCAAAGGGGTTACTTCGAGTCCAGATCTCAATTCCCATTAAAACCACATCAACATCCAGGGAACTCAAAAACATATCTATGCTATTGACAACAAGGCATACTTCATGCTGCACATCTGAGGCATTACTTTCGTGATGAAGATATCGATTGTGGTCCACCACCACTGCCAGTTCAAGAAACCGCTTGTGGGTCCACCAGCCTTCATACCCGCTCTGCTTCAAAGTGAAATTAACATTCTCTTGAAGCTTCAATTGTCGTGCAATCTCTTCCCCTGTTAACCCACATCTCAAAGGTGGGAACTGTGTCTCTTCACTGTCCATTTTGTATACAAAATGTTCAAATGTGGTAGAAAGTCTTTTGGGCTCTATTTCATAAACCATGTCATTTGTCTGTATGATTCCTTGAAAGCCCCCCAAACAGGTACTGAGGGCAACCAGGGATTCTCGATCCCCCTCCACATAACCATGATAGTAGCAGTCATTCTGGACAAAAGGCTGTTCCATAAGGATAGCGCCCTGGTCTGTGTAGGTGAATACTGGGAGGTGTTTGGACAGGAAAAGCTTGTTGACCTTTATATGGACAATGTGCCTCTGGCCCCCAAAATGGAGGCTGTAAGTGAGCCAGCCTGGGGACTTTATGCTGCTGGCATGCCTAATAGGACTCACTATCTCTGGAGGACCATTGTGTTTAGAATTCCCAATACGATACCGTCCAGGAAGAAACAGAAATATGCCCTGCCAAAGAAGCAGAAGAGTGATCTTCACATGCACCAAGCCCTCACCCACAGCCATAATGGAGCCACTCTTTGCAATCACTGGTGAGAGAAAAGTAGGGCAGGGTAAGAAGCATCACTTCGGGTCTTTTCCACCTGCGTTGGCTGTACACAGTGCTGACTTTTATTTTGTCCTCTGGCAGAGGCACACCATCAGAGGAGCCACACTAGAAGCAAAATGAAAAGAACAGAGACAGAGGTTGGGGTTATGAGCAGGCCAATTCAGAGGAAGAAGAGAAGGGTTAAAATGAGTCAGTGTGTGGCGCAAGACAAGACTCAGCATATACATATGTTTGCTCATCTGCTCATAAATTATAGTGAGGCAGAGTGAGAAAGGGTGTACAAAGGAATGTGGGGGTAGAAAAGAATGGTGATAGGCCATCGGCTGATACTTACTAAACCTAGATGAAGGATACACATGGATTAATTATATAATTCTCTCAATATATGAATATATATAACAATTTCCACACAAAATATAAAACAAAAGTGAACATATATCATGTTTTGATGAAGGAGTCTTAATTCTTACACATGAACGTGGTATAAATATCAACATATAGGTCTTCCTTTCACTATCAAATGAAGAGCTCTTTGGTCCCATTAGGAGAGAAATAAAAACTCTTCACAAACATTATTAGTTATATTTTCTCCTTTCTGTATTTCTCTAGTCATTTATACCTCTAAATCTCAAAGTGTCAAAGCATCAATTTTATCCAAATATTATTATGTCCTTTAATCATGCCAAGTTCTAGATTCAACAAACAACGGTGGTATTGGAGGATAAGTATATTGGGTTGGTGATGGATTAACTAAAAGTTTATATTTAATTATACTCTTAAGAGGAAGAATATCTTCAAAAACTCTAGCCATATAAAACGAAAGTAATCAAAGAAGTTGGGAGAATAACACTTGGAGATGGGAGTGTACTAAAGGCAAAATAAAGTAACTTCAGAATCAGTAAACCATGAAGGTGGGGGGAAAGCACGTGGGAAGATAATATATTGACTTTTAGTGGTGAAGTCCTCAAAGTCCGAACTCTTATAAGATGGTAAAGTAAACAGCTTCCAAGTTTAAGTTTAAAATGTATTTATTTCAGCTCGAAGAGGACAGATTCAATGATGGTGTGCAGGACCAGAGAGAGGGTGCGTGTGTAAGTGGGTGTGAGAGTGTCAGTGCACATCAATGTGGACGAGCAACCTCAAGCAGTGAAAAAATGAGGGGCAGAAGGTTCCTGTGCTGTGGATGGAGAGCAACTGGCTACTGTGATAAGCAGCTCTTCAGGACACTTCTCCCTGCGTGGTTTGGAGGCCCGGCATTTTGGAAGATCCTTTGTCTTTTCTGGGAGGAGGTAGTGGGAGTGGCTATGGCTTTGTGACCTGAGCCCATAGTGTACCTCACACCATTGGATCTGTGGATCCCACTGTGTCAACCCAGACCAGTGCACAGTAGGGGTGCTGTCAAGGTGCCTGCTGCAGAAGCTTCAAGCAGCTGGGAGCTGAGCCATCCCCCACAGCAGCAGTCTTATCAGAGTCGAGACACACCCCCAGAAACAGAGGTTCCAGAGCAGACATCCATCCCCAAACAGCAGCAACACAGATGGGCAGCTGAGACACATCCCAAAAGCATCCACAAGGCTGAGCAGGAGCTGAGCCCCATCAGGCAGCAGTGCTCTCCAGCTGTCAGCATTGAGACTCACACCTGCTCTGGGACTGACTCGATACACTGCTAATGGCTCTGGCAGGGCCTGTGGCTTAGATGGGTCCTGCAGGATACAGCTGCCTGTGGCTGTGGTGGAACATGTGGCTTCAGTGGGGCACAAGCAATTTGGCTACAAACAGCTCCAGTGGGGCCCATGCAATACAGCTACTTGCACCACTAGCAGGGCCCTTGACTCCAGCAGCAGGGCTTACCACGACAGACTAATACAAGCTGCCAGTAGTCACAGCAGGACCCACAGCAGGTAAGAGGTGCCATGCAGAGGAACTGTCTGGGAGGAACAATAGCCTTATTAGATACATACCAACCTGCCTACACATCCCAACATCTATCATTGGGTGTAGGACTACCAGATGGCTAAAATGGGGAAACAAAGAAGCAACATCCAAATGAAAAAAAAGGAGGAAACACCAGAAAAAGAACTACATGAAATAGAAGAAAGCACTTTGTCAGATAAAGAATTTAAAGCAATAATCTTAAGGGTGCTCAAATAATTCAGTGAAAACTACGAGCAACATAATGAGAATTATAAAGAGCTCACCAGCAACTACATCAGTTTAAAAAAAGAGTTAGAAGCTATGAATAAAAATCAAGTGGAAATAAAGAATGGTACAGCTGGTATGAAAAATACCTTAGAATGATTCAGTAGTAGATTAGAAAAAGCTGACGACTGAATCACTTAGTTAGAAGACAAGGTAGAGAAAAACACCCAAATAGAGCAGCAAATGAAAAATATTAAAACAAAAACAAAAACAGGAGGAGAGTTTAAGGTAGCTGTGGGACAAAACAAAACATAAAAACATTTGCATCATAGGGGTACCAGAAGGAGAAGAATCAGAGAAAGAAATAGAGAACCTGTTTGAAGAAATAATGACAGAAAACTTCCATAATTTGATGATGGAAAATGTCACACGAGTCCAGGAAACAGGAAAAATCTCAAACAAGATGAACCCCAAAAGACCCAAAGCTAGACACATCATAATTAAAATGGCAAACATTAAAGACAAGGAGAGAATCTTAAAGGAAGCAAGAGAGAGATGAAAAGTTACCTACAAGGGACCTCCCATTAGACTGTCAGGGGATTTCTCAATAGAAACACTGCAGGCCAGAAGGGAGTGGCACAAAGTGTACAAAGTAATGAAAGGCAAGAGTCTGAATCCAGGACTACTCTATCCAGCAAGGCTATCATTCAAAATTTAAGGCAAAATAAAGAGCTTCACAGACAAAAAAAAGTTGAAGGAATTTACCACCACCAAACAAGCACTGCACAAAATGCTAAAGGGACTGCTGTAAGAAGAAGAAATAGAGGGAGGGAGGGAGGGAGGGAGGGAGAGAGGGAGGGAGGGAGAGAGGGAGGGAGGGAGAGAGAGAGAGAGAGAGAGAGAGAACAACACAGGCATAAAATAAAAATGGCAACAAATAAATATCTATCAATGATAAACTTAAATATAAATGGCTCAAATTTCACAATCAAAAGACATAGGGTAGCTGATTGGATAAGAAAACATGACCCATGTATATGCTGTCTACAAGAGACCAACCTTACAACAAAAAACTCACACAGGATGAAAGTGAAGGCATGGAAAAAAATTTCCAAGCAAATGGAAATTAAAAAAAAAAAAAAAAGCTGGTATAGCAATACTCATATCAAATAAAATACACTTCAAAATGAGGGCCATAATTAGAAGGTCATTACATAATATTAAAAGGACCAACACAAGCCCTGGCCGGTTTGGCTCAGCGGTTAGAGCATCAGCCTGCGGTCCCGAGAGACCCGGGTTTGGTTCCCACTAAGGGCATGTGCCTTGGTTGCAGTTTGTCCCCGGCCCTGGTCGGTCGTGCAGGTGGCAACCACTCGATGTGTCCCTTTCACATCGATGTTTCTCTCTCTCTCTCTCTCTCTTCCTCTCTCTCCCTCCCACTCTACTTGAACAAAAAATGTCCTTGGGTGAGGATAAAAAAAAAAAAAAAAAAAAGGACCAACACAAGAAGAGGTATAACCCTGGTAAACATATATGCATCAAATAGAGGTGCACCAAAATATATTAAAAACTTTTGGAGGACTTTGAAGAAGAGATCAATAGCAACACAGTCATAGTGGGTGACTTTAACACCTCACTGACATCACTGAATAGATCTTTTAGACAGAAAATTAACAAGGACACAGAGTCCTTAAATGACAAACTAGATCAGATGGACTTCATTGATATTTACAGAAAATTTCACCCCAAAGCTGCAGAATATACATTCTTCTCAAATGCACATGGGACATTCTTGAAAACAGACCACATGATAAGACACAAAGTAAGTCTCTACAAATTCAAGAAGATTGAAATTATATAAAGCATCTTCTCAGATCACAATGGTATATAAGTAGAAATTAATTACAACAAAAACACAGTAAAACATTCATACACTTGGAGGCTAAATAGCATGTTATTAAACAATGAATGGGTTACCAAGAAGATCAAGAAAGAAATTAAAAACTTTCTGGAAACCAATGAAAATGAGCACACAACAACACAAAATCTATGGGACACAGTGAAAGCAGTCCTGAGAGGGAAGTTCATAGCACTACAGTCATACCTCAAGAAACAAGAAAAATTTCTAATTGATTTTTAACCCTACCACTCAAAGAAGTAGAAAGTAAACAAAAAGGAAAACCAAGAGCAAGTAGAAGGAAAGAAATAGTGAAGGTCAGAGCAGAAATAAATGACACAGAAACTAAAAAAAAAAAAAAAAAATCTAAAGATCAATGAAACAAAGAGCTGGTTCTTTGAAAAGATTGATGGACCCTTATCAGACTCATCAAGAAACAAAAAAAGAGACCCAAATAAAGAAAATCAGAAATAAAAGAGGAGAAGTAACAACTGACACCACAGAAATACATAGAATTATTAAAACATACTATGAACAATTATACAACAACAAATTGGACAATCTAGGTGATATTGAAAAATTTCAGGAAACACACAGTTTCCCAAAACTGAGCCAGAAAAAGATAGAAAACTTATAGACCAATAACAACTAAGAAAATTGAAGATGTAATCAAGAAACTCCCAGCAAACAAAAGCCCAGGCCTAGACGGCTTCAAGGGGGAAGTTTTACTGAAAAATTCAAAGAAGATCTAACCCCCGTTCTTCCCAAACTGTTCCAAAATTCCAACAAGACGGCAGACTTACAAACTCATTTTATGAGGACAACATGATTTTATTTTGCAAACCAGATAAAGACACTACAAAGAAAGAAACCTACAGGCCAATATCCCTGATGAACACAGATGCTAAAATCCTTAACAAA